CACTCGGACCCAACAATGGACTCTCCCACCACTGACCAAACGTTTGTTGCTCCGATCCTGGGTTTAGCTGCTGGCCGTCTCTGTCTGTCTGTCTGTCTCTCTCTTGTAGTCTCGCTCTCTCTCTCTCTCTCTCTCTCTTGTCTCTCTATTTAGCTGTCTCTCTATCTGGATATCAATTCCTGGCTGTTTGTCTCTCTGTCTTCATGTTCTTTATCTCTCCGCCTGTATAACTGTCATTTGCATATATGACTCATTTTTCTCCCACTCCATCTAATTTTATCCATTTATCTCTGTCTCTACCAGTCTATATATATATATATGTCTCAGTGTTTCTATCTCTTTGTCAATGATTCTCTCTGTCTCTCTCTCTCTCTCTTATTCAACAAGCACTGCACCGCGAACATCGACCCATCGTTTGCTGGTCACATCCTGAGTTCAGTTGGTGCTTGAAGGGCTGTAGATGTTCGTGTCTGTCTCTCTGTCTATTTACATGACTATTTGTTTGTCTGACCAGCCATTTACTATCCGGCAGTTTCCTATTGCTTGATTGCTTGCTTGCTTGCTTGCTTGCTTGCTTGCTTGACTGTATTCCAAGTGGATATTGATAAAAAAAAAGTCTGTTATTTTATGTCTCTGTCTCACTTTCTTTCTCTATTTTTCCTCTTTTTATTTTCAATTTCTTTCTCAATTTTGGTGTTTCGATTTTCGTATTTTCCTGTCTCTTTCTGTCTCTCTCTCTCGGACATAACTAATAATCTACCAATTCTTCCACACACACACACACACACACACACACAACCACACACACACATTTTTACCTATTATCGTTCATATCTCACCTAATTTCACCTTTTTTTCCTCCTCACCAACATCACCAACAACTCTAATTCAAATATCTTTCAATCTCATATATATATTTTTTTAAGGTTATTTGGTCAAAGCTTCAGAATGCTTTGGTTGCTTTAGTTTATGTTATTGGTGGTTGGTCGAACATTAAAGCAGTTTGGTATAGAATATTGTTCAATACCAGAATCGTTTGGGTTGTGTTTTACGAGAAGTAGTGTAGGGGGAGTGTGTGTGTGTGTGTGTGTGTGTGTGTGTGTGTGTGTGTGTGTGTGTGTGTGTGTGTGTGTGTGTGTAAGGCTGGTCTCTATCTTTCTATGAGTGTGTTTGAACGAGACATCGTGCATCTGTTTATTTTTCTATTTCTAACTACGAGTATTTTGTCCGTGATAATCTCTCTCTCTCTCTCTCTTTTATGTGATTCTCCCTTTTATCTCTGTCTGTTCTGACAGAGTAACTGACTGACTGACTGATTGACCGATTAACTTGCGGACTGAAAGACTTTTTCGACTGATTGACCAACTGACACAACAGACACAAAAATTCATGCGAAAAAAATCCTAGCAGACAAAATCTCAGCGGACAAAATCGCAGCAGTTATAATCCCATCAGATATAATCCCTGCAGACATAATTATATATATATATATATATATATAATAATAATAAAAAAAAATAATAATAATAATAATAATAATAATAATAATAATAATAATAATAATAATAATAATAATAATAATCCTACAGCAGACAAAATCACACCAGACCAATTTATTCTTCAAGGTTCAACCCCTCAAGGACGACGAGTCAGTTATAACTCCTATAAAAATGACTTTCTACATGTGACAAATCTCAAAGGGGTTAAGCCGTTGTCCTTAAAATGTTAAATTGTCGTTCTCAAAGGATTAAACCATCGTTGCCAAAGGATTAAACCATCGTTGCCAAAGGGTTAAACCATCGGTGTCAAAAGGTTGACCATCTGTGTTAAAGGGTTAAACCATTGTTGTGAAAGGGTTAATACACTGTTCGGTTATAGGTTAGGTTAAGTTAGGGTAGGCTAGGTTAGGTTATATACCTGCCTGTTGTGTCTCTCAGCCTTGTCTCTCAACCAAAACATTCCTCAGTCTTGTCTCTCAACCAAAACATTCCTCAGTCTTGTCTCTCAACCAAAACATTCCTCAGTCTTGTCTCTCAACCAAAACGTTCCTCAGCCTTGTCTCTCAACCAAAACATTCCTCAGTCTTGTCTCTCAACCAAAACATTCCTCAGTCTTGTCTCTCAACCAAAACATTCCTCAGTCTTGTCTCAACAAAACATTCCTCAGCCTTCTCTCTCAACCAAAACAATCCTCAGTCTTGTCTCTCAACCAAAACGTTCCTCAGCCTTGTCTCTCAACCAAAAAATTTCTCAGTCTTGTCTCCCAACCAAAACTCACCTAGTAGGAGTGTTTTGACAAGCAGCTGTTATCCTCCCTCCAAAAAAGAAAGAAATGTCTCCCTGCAGGCTAGGCTATAACACCCAGGACCTCCATATCTCCTCCCAGACAAATGTTCCTATCTGCCACTTCACGCCCGATGCACAAAACGTTTCTCCTACAAGTCTTTCATTGTTAACCGTATGTATGAATATTTTTCGTGAGGAGAGGTTGGTCTTTCATCGTTAAACTCATACAGGATAAACATTGCTCTTGAGGTTTTGTTTACAGTAAGGCATGTCATTCTTTCTCGGTAAGGTCGTTCAATGTTTATATTCCACAGAGTAAATATTTTTTGGCGCAAGTGTTTCATGTTTTATTGTGTCTAATATGTGGATTCCTCTTACCAACCTTTTATTGCTTCTTGTCACCGATATATTAATAAAAAAATACCTTATTGTGGTGACTTTTCATTACTCGCTTGACTCAAATTGTTTTCCTACTTATTTTCTTTTATTTTCATGAACGTTTGTCCTTGACTGCTGGTTTCAGGTTCTCAGAATTTCGCAAGTTCTTTTTCCTCTCCTCTAACAACCTCAAGTAATGATAATCTCAGTGTAATTCCGAAGCAGTTTGGAATATTTTTATTTTGTTCATAACTTAAGTGAGCGACCTGAATACGTTCTCATATATTCACCCAGGGAAAAAAATCGACATGAGAATTTTTTAGAGTATGAAAATAAGTATAAAATTCTCAAAAGATTCGTAAAATATTTTTTTCTCGCGATAATGAATTTTAGAATATACCGAACTAGGATGACACAATAAACATGACTAGTAAAATGCTTCTGAGATTCAACTTGGAGTCGAACATCAGTTACTTGACTGAATTGTATTTTTAAATCCCAGTTAGAGGTTAAAAAAAATTATATGGAAACCAAGAACCTATTTTATGATTTTCTGGGGTTTCGGACACGGCCTCAGTGGGGACCGAGTGCCAGGTCTGATATTATGGTGAACAAGTCCACAACATGTTGGCCCAGCTGCTCCGACGCCTCGCTCCATCACACACACACACCAGCCAAATTCTCAGAGGTCCATAAGCTAAATTTTCCTTCCAGTTGGTGATGTGAGAACGCATTTAAATGGCCCTAATGAGCTATGATACACAGCTGGTGGCCAAAATGGTGATGAAATTGTCTTAAGACTTGACAATTATGGGGAAGAATGGGCATGAGGCTTTGTGAATGTAAGTCTCTCACAAACAGACGGACAACTCCAGGAAACAGTGGTCTCTCTCTCTCTCTCTCTCTCTCTCTCTCTCTCTCTCTCTCTCTCTCTTATATTGTACTCCAGTATCGTAATTTTAACATCTGTGATATTAAAGAAAACTCGTAAAATTCGTGACTTAAGTTAGATTAAGCTAAGATAGGTTTAAGATGAGTTAGGATGGGTTAATTTAGGTCCGATCAGGTTAAGTTAGATTAAATTAAATCGCTTTTTGTTAGGTTAGGTTAAGTTAGGCTAAGTTTAGTCAGATTAGCCTAAGTAAGGTAAGATTAGATTAGCTTAGCTTAAATTATTTAAGTTAGGTTAGGTTAGGTTTTGATAATTAAGTTAGGTTAGGTTAGGCTAGGTTAGGTTAGGTCAACTCCACAGATCACTACCTTAAAAAATTGAATCTCCAACAAACTGTGTCGTCAGATCCACAAGTCGTGTTGGGCCTCAGCGGTGTGTCGGGTCTGGTGTGATTTATGTATGAATGGCGATGTATATTGCATGGGGGGAGCTCTGGTGACTGTGTGAGAAACGAGTTGAATTTTTTTAGTGTGTGTGTGTGTGAGTGAGTGTGTGTGTGTGTATGTATGTGTGTGTGTGTGTGTGGAGGGAGGGGTGGGGGGCTGATGAGTCTCTTCCTCCCCCATTCTATTTTTTTCTATATGTCTATCTCAGTTTCTCTCTTTTTTCACCCGTTTATTTGCTTCTCTCCCTCTTTTCTTTCTCTCTGTGTATATATGTATGTATGTGTCACTGCCATTATCCTCCCGTGTGTGTGTGTGTGTGTGTGTGTGTGTGTGTCACCCAATAATTAGGTGCCACACACACATATCATACACCCAACAAATCATAATTAGCCAAATGAACCACTATTTACAAGACTCCCGCACCAGCCTATTGTAATCCCAGCTGTATTTATCACGCTAGAGACTTCCACTGGCTACACCACTGTACCTACCTCTCATACAGTAAACGGATTACAGCATAGCATATTATTATTTCTGTAACGTTGGTTATTTATATCCAGTAATTAATAAGTCACACTATTTCTAATTTATTTTACGATGGGTTTATAATTCTGTGTTTTAATTTGGGGTGGTTTATATAATGGATGTTATTTCCAGTTTATATAATTATTACAGATATGGAATTTACTTACGTTTTGTGGTACAGATATTTTATGTATGTATGTACGTGTGTATGTATATATGTATGTATGTATGTATGTATGTATGTATGTATGTACAGGGGTATGTACTGTATGTATGTAGTTGTTCTCTTCTTAAAGATAAAATTGAGTTCTAAGCTTTATACAATAACTAGATGGATGACTAAAAGTAAACAATAATCCAAACACAGAAAATATCAAAGGCAATAAGAAGAAAAAACAACAACAGTATCATAGAAAACGTCAACATGAACAACAGTATCATAGAAAACGTCAACAAGTGGAGGGGGTAACTTACATATTACGGTGAGGTTGGCGGCGTGTCGTATGGCTGAAGCGGTGCCGTAGGGAGTCACTTGACACTGGTACTCGCCATCGTCCTGGATGATCACGTCGCTTATCCTCAGGTTGTGTACCCCAGCTGACTCGTCCCCCAGCACCATATACCTTGGGAACCCTGGGATACTGCGATTGAACCCTGGGAATAAAAGAGAGAGAGAGAGAAGGTGAGTGAGTTATGGATCATTTTTGAGGTTGGAATTGAAAGAGAGAGAGAGAGAGAGAGAGAGAGAGAGAGAGAGAGAGAGAGAGAGAGAGAGAGAGAGAGAGAGAGAGAGAGAGAGAGAGAGAGAGAGAGAGAGAGAGAGAGAGAGAGAAGGTGAATGAGTTATGGATCATTTTGAGGTTGGGGACTGGAAAGAGAGAGAGAGAGAGAGAGAGAGAGAGAGAGAGAGAGAGAGAGAGAGAGAGAGAGAGAGAGAAAGAGAGAGAGAGAGAGAGACTTATATTACATACTCTATTAGTATTTAAAACAAAACTTAGTATTCAAATCCACCAAATCATCACTTCACTTCGTCACCAGATATACGAGTATATATAAACAGTATAATCATATATCTTTATTCATATATCATCAAATGTATAAAATATAAATACAGACCAGCGTGAGGGCCAAAAAAATATGAACAATATAATATAAAAAAAACATCTAAAATTGAAATTAAAATAAAAAATTCCTTGACAATGAATTCAAAATTTATACCTCGTAAAATTCTGTCAATCCTTTTAGTCTATGACGCTGTGTTGGGGGGTTGTCTTCTCTGTTAGATGTGTCTGTTTGTCTGTCGCTCGTTCTCTGTCAATTTCTTTACTTCTCATGTTTTCTTTCATGAATTCCTTATCTGCCTCTCATTTTTATTTCTCATTTATTTTTCGCTTTTATTCCTTTTAATCTCTCTCTCTCTCTCTCTCTCTCTCTCTCTCGCTCTCTCCCAGCTGTCCCTAACACACTCCTAAGGCTTCAGGCGACTCATGCATTTTTAAAAACTCAATTTGAAGGAAAACTTAAAGAAAAACTCGGTGTAAACTGGTGTGTGTTGAGAAGACTTTGGGGAGGGGGGTGAGGGGTGAGGAGGAGGAGGTCAGAGGGAGGGTGAGGGAGAGGCAGGGGCGAGAGGGAGGCTGAAGGAGAGGGAGGGTGTGAGAGGGAGGAGGAGGTCAAAGGGAGGGTGAGGGAGTGGGAGGGTGAGGGAGAGGCAGGGAAGAGAGGGAGGCTGAAGGAGAGGGAGGGTGTGAGAGGGAGGAGGAGAAGGAGAAGGGGATGAGGTGTGAGGGGGAGGGCACACATGCACGCATACACTGAGACGCAGATGAGAGAGAGAGAGAGAGAGAGAGAGAGAGAGAGAGAGAGAGAGAGAGAGAGAGAGAGAGAGAGAGGAGGAACCTGCTCTTATAATATAACATTAGTCTCCTCGACACCTTCTTTCACGGAGATTTAAAAACGACAACAATCTGGTTTATAAGTCTGTGTGTCTGTAAGTCTGTGAGCGTCTGTGTGCGTACCGAGTCGTCTGTCTGTGTGCGTCTATGTCTTTAACGGGTCGGTTATGTACGTAATCTCCCTATTTATCTTACCCCATTACCACCATTCCCTCTCTTAAAAGCATAGGTCGTCATTTTTGGAGGGAAATTTCAAATTAATATTGCCGCGAGTCGCTTCATAACTAAGTCAATGAGCTAACATCAAAGAGTTACTGGATGTCTAAATAACTCGACTGTAAATACCGAAATGTGTTTTTAGTCTAGGGTCACATCCAGCCACATTTAGTTCACTTCTATCATTAAGAGACTTTCTTTCTTTTTACAGAGATGAGCCCTGAATGAGACAGTGTGATAAAGAGGAAGAGAAGCGCGAAGGATGGGAGAGAGAGAGAGAGAGAGAGAGAGAGAGAGAGAGAGAGAGAGAGAGAGAGAGAGAGAGAGAGAGAGAGAGAGAGAGAGAGAGAGAGAGAGAGATATGCAAACTAAGACAAACAAAAAGAAAGGCGACGAACAAAACACAAAGGACAGACAGACAGACAGACAGACACACACACACACACACACACACACACACACACACACACCCAGAGTGATAGACAAACAGCCAGACATAGAAATAGACAAACATACATGCAGACCAACAGACAGGGAATGCACGATAATTTTCTGAAAATTTGTGAAGTAAAAACTAAATCATCAGAGAAGGGGGGACTGAGCTGGGAGTGACCTACATACTTGGTATACATAATGAGAGGGAGATGCTGGGAGAGGGAGAGGGAGAAGAGAGAGGAGAGAGGGAAGAAGAGAAAAGAGAGGAGTAATTGGAGAGGGGGACGGATGAGGGAGAGGGTGAAGAGAGGAGAGGAGAGAGGTGTGAGGAAGAAGAAAGAGGAGAGGAGTGAATGGAGAGGGATGAGGGAGAAAGAAGAAGAGAGAGGAGAGGAGTGATTGGAGAGGGATGAGGGAAAAGGAAGAAG